TACTACTACTATTACTTCTACTACTACTACTACTACTCCTCCTCCTACTACTACTACTACTGCTGCTTCTACTACTACTACTACTACTACTACTACTACTATTACTACTACTGCTACTACTACTGCTACCACTGCGACTGCCACTGCCCCTGCTACTGCTCCTGCGACTGCTACTGCCACTGCGACTGCTACTGCCACTGCGACTGCTACTGCTGCTACAACAAGTGACTGTGTTTTTCTTGTTGCTCTTCAGTGCGCGAACTTCCGTGCGAGGGGCGTGAGGATTCGCTTGTGCTGGTACTATCACTGCCTACTATAGCGTTTGCTGTTGCAAACTCTATGACTGTTAGTACTAGGACTGCTCCTACTACATGCACATTCAGCATGGCTTTTAGTCACACGCGAAGTCACTACAAATCACGTTACGATCCTTGCACTAGCAGTGACTAGCATCTGTTTGCAGGACCCACAGTTTGCACCCGAATGCAAAGACGAGAGCACTCCCGGCACTGCCACATTTTCACAAGAAGAGATGAACCAGGTGGGGACTTTGAAAAGGCAGAGTCTTGGAGTTGAACTGGAGCAAAGCATGACCCCCGTTCTAAAGTAGAGCTTGCCAGGTAGCAGAGGAGCTGACAACATCCAACCCTGATAACCCTTGTGCAAATATCTTCAGCACCTGGGCCGTCGGTGGATGCAGCTCCTTCTATTCACGGTTATTTGAAGTTGGGGGTATTTTGGTGTAACATAACCGCATCCCATTGGTGCGGTAGCCGAGGCACGCCAAAGACGAAGAAGCAAAGCACCGGAACAGAGTTCTTGGATAAGACCATCGCGGGATTGCAAGCCCGACCCGACGTCTCGACATTCTTCCCTCAAGAGAACGACATAGAGGAGGAGTGGGACGGGCATGAGTGCATAGGGTTACGGGGTATCTGTGAACTGTTACTGCACCCCTGCTCTGCTTTCGAGGGTTATGATATACCAAGGCCCAATAAGATGGCGCTGCACCTACGCTTTCTGCTGCGGTCTTAGGGGCTGCTGAAGGGGTTTTAATCACCAAGAAAAGAGCCCCTTCATACAGTATCAGGGATGCGAATCTGCTGAAATAAACATATCGGCATCCCCGAGGAGACCCTCCGACTGGAAGTACCACTGACACTGCAACTGTATGCTCGGAAATTTAAACTCTATGGAAACAAGTCTGGACAACAACATAACCGGTAGAAGCAAATATTGGCACTGTTCCCTGCTTCCAGCTGCAGGAGGGACAGGGCAGCTCCTGGTATGAGTGGAATCTTAAAGACGTGGACCAGCCTGGAGAGAGTGGCATTACTTACAAGAACACCAAGGGATGCGACGATCGCCAGGGTGAGCGTGATAAAGTCGTGGAAGCATGGGAGGAGGAACACGAGAGGCCGGGTTTTCCAGTCCGGATGGGTTCGTGAACCTAATTCACGGCATGATGTGCTTACTGCAACCTGCAAACAGATAAGCTTGTAATTGCTAGCCAGGTTCTACGAAGGATAAAGTGGCTGTAAACTCTAGAATTGTAGTGTCGAACAATCCGCGGCACCCTGCCATGACATAGCGTTTCTGGAGTTGGAGAAGACCAAGTCCGCGAACCTCAAGGATGTAGGAAGTTCGCTGAGCAGCATTCTGCCAGTGGGATGGTTGCTACAAGTATGATGCGAGTCACCCCACTATGGAGGTTCCGGAGACTAAGAGACCCCCAAAACCCTGAGCGTTTGACCGCCAAGGACCATTTTCAGTTGTAACGGTTTCTTTCTCCTCCTCTTGCCATCTTCATGATCAAGACACGCACAACCCTTGCAGGAGAGCTGCATACTCCACCCTCGTGGCGGAGAATCTCATTCCATGGTTGGAAGCAAATCCGCGTGTCCAGGTGGCGTGTTCTCAACCTGGGCGTTTCTGCAGGGCTGTAGGGACTCTACGGGCATAAGAAGGAGGGGTTTCAGGGGTTCCTCAAAATTGTTGACAAGGTATCCTTTTTTGGCAACGGCTTTGAGATCCCCGTGGGTGAGATCCTCACGATTCCTGTCAAGGTGCCGGGTCCAAGATCGGCACTCCCAATCCTTGCCTCCGCTGCTTTGGGTCTAGGTCTAGATTTGTAGGCAACATATCGTTGTGAGACTCATGTCGGGTGTAGCGGGCTAGAGGAAGGCAGTGAGGATTGTGTCTCGGAGAGCGCATGTTTGATGCGGTGATTATGTTGCTGCCTTTAAACCCCAGGTTTCTTCAATCCTACACCTATGTTTGAATAAGTCTTGATATACTTAATCCAGCAGTAGCAATAGTAGTAGTCGTCGTCGTAGTAGGAGTAGGGATAGTAGTCGTAGTGGAAGAAGTGGTGGCAAAACTAGCACATAAACAGACAAACAGATGAAGAAATAGATGGTAAACCAGAAATCATACTCATGCATAAGCAAGTAACAAATAAAAAGATAATCATCATCAATGGTATCAAACATCATGATACAGCATGCAATACTACTACGACGACGGCGACAACGACGACGACGACTACTACTACTACTACTTCCACTACTACTACTACTACTACTACTGCTACTACTACTACTACTACTACTACTGCTAACTCTACTACTCTACTACGGCTACTACGACCACTACCACTACCACTACCACTACCACTACCACCACCACTGCCATTGCCACTGCCAATGCCACTGCCACTGCCACTGCCACTGCCACTGCCACTGCCACTGCCACTGCCACTGCCACTACTACTACCACTACTACTACCACTACTACTACTACTACTACTACTACTCCTCCTCCTCCTACTCCTACT